ACACAATGATTTAAAACTATTTTTCAGGAGGTATATCCAAAGCAACAGCTTGAAGTACACTGCTGTACCCTCCAGGCAAGACAATATTCCCTCCTTGGAGTTCTATATAACTACCTAATTCTATTAAATTCACTTCGTTCATATCGTTACAACCAGTAATACAAGTTTCTCTTTTCAAAAGAGAATCAAAAATTAGCTGTTTTATGTGCTTTTCTTTATTATCATTAATTCTGTCTAAATATAAAGCAACTTCTAATTTAATATGATCTCCAACATTAGATATTCCTTCTGGTGGCAAAAATTGAGATAAAAAATATTCTTCACACCTTCTTAAAAAGCAAGTGTAAGCCTCGTACACTTCTTGCAACATAAGAAAAGGGATTTGACTTCCATCTTCCATTACAGCTAGTACTTGGTGATCTTTTGGTGTATGTGTTATGTCAATAAGTCCATGATTTAAGGCTAATTCATACATGGGATTCCCTAGTATACCATGAATATAATTTGCTCCCATTTCTAATTTTAAGTTCCCTAAGAAAAAATTAAATCGTCATAAACTTAAAAGAAATCAATTTTAAGTAAATTTATTTTAATTTAAAAGTTATTTGAAAAAGAAAAAATTTAAATGTCCAATCCTAGGTAAAATATTTGGAATTATATTTTAAACATTACATAACTTGAAAAATATTCAGAAAATCCAATAATAAAACTGAATAAAATAATTCATGTTTTAATTATAAATTTTTAATTAGGGGTTGAGGAGTTTTATGAATTTCGAATGCATGCAACTGTATGTACGAGGGTGAAATAAAATAAAAAAATAATTGTTATTTTTTATTATTTAATAGAAAATTAGGTAGTATTAAAAGTAAACAGTGTATTCACCCATTTCATATGCTTCCACCCTGCCTCCAATTTTATCCCTCGCTTCCAAAATTTTAAAATTCGTTATTCCCTTTTTAACCAATGCATCCCCAGCTGCCAGCCCACTTATCCCACCTCCAATAATAATAATTTGAAATAAATTATTATTGTTATTATTCTTAACTTCGGCATGACGGCCGTCGTGGTAT